TTCCATTAGTTTTTCCGTTAAACCACCAAATTCCGTTAAATAGGCACTTTTTATATATAGAAAGATAAGCGGCAAGAACAACAATTAATTTTAATAACTTTCCTTTTGTCTTCATTACTTGTTGCACCAAAAAGAGGCAAGAACCCTAAACTTTGTTCTCCTAAAATCCTGTCGTCCTTACGTGTTGTGGTGAAATTTTACTGTAATTGAAAGCTAGACATTTGGATAATTTTGGTGTTATGAGATCTTTGTTATCATCAAATGTATAATCATTATCTAGATTCGTCCTAAATAAGGTGATCCTAGTTGAGATATTGAAATTGTTTAATTTCGGTAAATGTACTTAATAATTACTTAACACTCAATTCAATTTTCTTTGGAGCATAATCGAACCGTGCCCACCTCATATGTACACAAAAAAATCACTCAAATTTGAGATATTTTTAAAAGATCTGATCAGCATACGAGTGTTTGACGGACTAGACAAATCTTAGCAATGAAGTAAAAACTACACTTCTCTATATATTTTAGAATGTCCTCACTATAGGAGTATTTGACAAGCATAACAAAGAAATAAAATAAAAATTACGTTAGTTCGAGACATCTAAGAATGTAAAGCATTATCTTTCCATCGTTGTCAAGTTTCGAATCCATAGAGTGGGCACACAAACGATGTTGCTCTCTATGGACCAAACTAACACTTAAACTATTGGCATGACTCAATTACTTCCATTGAAAGCAAAATACGCCGGTCAACCGAAAATGAAAGAAGACTAAAGTATGGTCGAGAGGAAACACTAACAAATAAGACGAATAAAATGGCATTGAATTCACAATTGTGACGAAGAGATCAGTAGCTTTTACCACATTTGCATTACCATTAGAGGACCTCTAATAGCCTTCGAGGATAATTCTTCTCCTTGGGAGTCAATTCCAAATCAAAAAGAAAAACAAACAAAATATGAATTGACAATAGAAATTTAAGTAACATAAGAGAAACTACGTATAACTTAGAAATTTCAAAATGTCCCATTTCCATCCCTTTCGCATTGCTTTTATGATAATAAAAAATACGAGTAAATGAAGAAAAAATGGACCTTCAAAAAATATTTAGCAGGACAAAAGATGGAAATTATATATAATAATATTTTAATGTCACGCTTTCAAAAATAGAAAAAAAAAATTAAATATAATTCTAGTATTTTGGCCATGGACTCAAACTTGGTTGTGTGCCTTAGTCAACCCGTTGCCTTGGCCTAAAGATGGAAATTATAACATAGTTTCTTAGGACATGGACACTACTATTATGCAAGATGATGGGTTCCCATACTACTTGTCTTGTACCATTCCATCATCTCATCTGCATGGTGCTTTCTACGTGCCTTGTGAGATTTGTAATTCGAACCTTTATGTGTTCTGACGAAGAGACGAATTTATTTAAATTTTATCTTCAACAATTAAGATTAATTCGAACCTTTTACGAGTATAGAACATGAATTTTGTCGTTCAATGGGATCAATAGGAGTCAATTAAATTAAATTAAAAATTCGATCTTTGACGTGTAATACTTCATAAACTAATTTAGATTAATTCTTTGACCAATGAAAAATCAACTATTCGTGTGGTCTATATGTACTTCTGAAAATCAACATTATGGGCATAAGTGACATGTTGTGTTGAAAACAAATACACAATAGAGAGAGTTGGAGATTGGATCACTTGACTGATTCTTGCTTGGAATCACGAACATATTTGGCCAAAAATAAAATAAAAAGTCAACCGTTTGAAAGTTTGCAATTTGACTTTGAACTGAATTAAATAATTTTACATAAACTTTTCCGGTATACATTTTGGCTTTTCATGCTAATTATGATTACATATCGATGCGTGGAAAAGCTGATCCACCTCGAGAGAGGTGGCGGTTCAAGCTTGTTTCTCCGTTAAAAGTCAAATACATTGACATCAATATAATATTTGCCTCATCAATTTAGTCATATTTGGCGATTGGCCGATTTGTCGATTTTGATACTTTCGATATTAAGTAATTAACTGAATAACACATCATTATTTTGTCGAGGACCAAACCCTCTATCGAATAAGGAAAAAACCCGATATAACGTTTACAAGTTCAACTTAAAAAATAAATTTTAAACATATATGTGGTCTTTGATGTACATTACTGAGAAGAAAATGCATTTTATGATGTTATGTGATGAAAAATATATGGTTAAAAATTAAAAAAAAAAGAAGTTGAATTTACGTGTAATATTATTTTATTAAAGAATATTTGGTTGAAAATAAGTATCAAAAGAATGAATTTTGGGAAGAATGTAGATTAAACTGGGGGCATAATCACGTATTTAAGTGTAAGAAAGTATTTTGTTTGTATTCTTTTTATTTATTTATTTATGGGGTGCAATTTGCACCTGTTTCTATAAATTGAAATTTTAAAATTAAATACTTTGACTTTTAACAAGTCAACGTTTTCTAAAATATCCCAACACCGTCATTGTGAGCAAATAAGAGTAGTTCACTTAAAGAGGTAAAGTACAAGAATTAACACCGCCGTTAGCTGTATGGTCAAATATTTTGCTTTGACTAGGACCGGTCGTAGTATGTTAGATTTTACCGAGTTCACGGGTATGCTTGAGCCCTATTTTGTGTAAAAAATAAGTTTTGATAATGAATTTTTTTAGAAAATATATGGTTAAAAAATAGATAAATTTTTTGAATTATTTTATTGAATGTGTGATCGAAAATGAGTTTTTAAATAATGAAGTTCAAACATAGGCTAAATTTACTGTCTCGATTTAGCTGTTCGATTATCAATAACTATTCCGATTCTAGTTAACATAGTTCGTCATATAAAAGAACAAAATAGTTTGTATTTTACTAAAATTTTGATTCCTTAATATTTCAGTAAGGTGTCAAAATTTTAATGGCAGGAGCATCAATTCGAGAAAGCAAATCTAGACTCCAATGTAAAATAGTAGCAAAACAAATAATAATAATAATTACGATAAATTAGTTCAAATGATTATTGACATAGTAGACAAGTCATTTGGTGTTATTGTTGGAAATTGGTGTTTCTATTTAACAATGGATTGTCGAATTTTGTGATTGACAACCTCTTCGAATTATCAATGACTAGTGACTCAATGTCACTCGGTGTTTGGGTTTTGCATCCAAGTGTCTCGTGATCGGCTATTGTCTCTACCGATCGGTAAGGCAGGAATTAGTAGTTAGTTATCCTATGATGTGATTAATTGCATGGCAATCCACTATCAATGCTTGGAATTAGCAATAGAAATTTTACTAGTATATATATATATAAAATTATCCGAACAAACTAAATAAAGATGTCGGCCCAGCACCTCCCTGCCTACGGATAAACTCGAAACCGTGTAACCCAGATTCCAAACTTTTGTTTATGCCAGTAAGAATTCACACCTCAACCTTTGACCACCACACCACTTTACAGGCATCCACCATCTGTCCACTCCGCCGCCACCCCACTTGCCTCTACAGATTAATCCAACTTAAAAGTCAATGAAGTAACCAAAAAATAAAAAGCTGAGAATCTAACCCATATTTTTGTACACAGTGTAAAAGCTTGATGTCGACTCTTTCAAGTCGGCTGCTGCCATACTTAATTAATTCTGTACTGCAATAATTTCAACTCGTAACTTGCTTATATATATGACTTTCAGTTCAAGAAATTCTTGTCAACTTTCTTGAATGAACATTGTTTAGTATTTTGTACTTTTTGAATCCCCATGTGCGTGTTCAAGGTGGCGAATTCAAGAAAAAACAGTGCTCAGAGCACAAGGAGAAATGATCCATTGGAGTCACTGCTATCTGGATTTGACAGAGAGCAAGAAATGTCAGCTATGGTGTCAGCTTTGGCCCACGTGGTGGCGGGTAATGTGAGCCAAGAAGCAGCGCAGCCTGGAGATAGTGACAGTCGAGGTGGCGGAGCGGCGGTGAGTGGTGGTTCTTCGACGTCTGCATGTTCGTTGGGTGTTGGAGATAAGAGGAAAAGGGAAGAGAATAGCAGTCATGAACAGGCTTCTGCATCAGTTGCAACAGTTTACAGGGCTTATAATGATTTTACCATTGGAGATTCTGAAATAATATCAGGTAACAATTAAAACCCATCTTCATTATCTTCAACACGTTCTCTTAATTCTGGCGTTAAGATTTGAACTTATAAAAAATCTACACCTTATAATCTAAGATATTGCATGGCCTAAAAGGTGATGAACAAATCAAGAAACTCATCAAGCATTGTATATATACATCTCTCTTGCTCAATCCTTAAGGATTGATTATACAGCGAACTTTAGACTAATAAAGGAAATAAGTACATGAAGTTGTTGATTATAACTCAAATTAAATTAGATTCAAAGAGTTGAAAACACTGTCAAATAAGACTTATCTCGAATTAAAAGATGGAGAAAAATAATAAGCCATGCAATCCTATGACTCCCTTGAAAAAGGAGACAATTAGGGGTTTGAAACTAGGTTGGGCTTACAGGTCCGGTCAGGTTGTGCCAAGCTCGTGATCTGAGCCAGCTGACTCTTGTCAGCCAGCTTGCACGAAACCAAATCTTCGAGCGTAGCAAAATATAGCAAACTCGAGTTGGCTTGGCCCGCCTAAAAAAAAAACATGGCCCGTACTTTCCTCCTCTTAAAACGGCTAGCCCGAGCCCTACCATTTTTCACATGCTGAACTTTGATCTAGTTTAAGTATTTGACATGAATGTGCATGATTCACAGGTGCAGAAGGTCCAAGCAGAGGAACAAGCATCATAACATCAACAGAAGCAGTATATACATACTCCACTCCCACAAATGTCACTACAGAATCCCATGGAACAAGGAAATACAGAGGAGTTAGACGGAGGCCATGGGGCAAATGGGCTGCAGAAATAAGGGATCCCTACAAAGCCTCTAGGCTTTGGTTAGGCACATTTGACACTGCAGAGGGTGCTGCTAGGGCATATGATGAGGCTGCCCTTAAATTTAGAGGCAATAAAGCAAAACTAAACTTCCCAGAAAATGTTCGGCTCTTGCAAATGCAATCACCAGTACCAAATAATCTCGTTTCAGTTTCTACTTCAACTGAACCAATTGTTCACACTCATCAAGTTCAATATCCCATGCAGAATATGAACTCCAGCTCACAAGTTTTGATGAATCTTGATGATATTCCAATGCAGCCTGCAGGGAATTTGTGGGATCAGTTACCGTTTTCATCTTCATCCCCGTCCTCGTCTTCTTTTCCACTGTTTTTTCCAGCTAACCTGCAGGGTAATGCCAGGCCGGAGGATGATCTAAGAAGTGGAGCTGAATATTCTTCGACGCCAGATTCAAGTCATTTGACTTCTTCAGGATGATCTGATCATCACATCAGACTAGTATATTGCATCAGTTTTTCTGATTTTTGGTTTGTAATTTTTTAGCTTGATTTTGTTAATAAATTGAAAGGGGAAAAATTACTATAATGTGACTGTATAGATCCAAGTTCTTGTGTAATTGATCACTAAAAATGGTGACACTGAACCCCGAATCATGTATACAAGCATGCACATAACTGCAGCTCAATACTCATACATACTTCCATCAAGCATCACATATCAAGCGCAGTCTACAAGATACCATCTATGGCAAACAATATACCGGAATAAGTTCCAAGTTAGAAACTCAAAAATGAGAAGCGTCAATTATCATGGATTATCCGTGTACACAAACTGGTACAAACATCATGAAGCTATTTCCTCAGTACATATCCTAATTGTTGAAATGGAAGAATAATTGAAATAGTAATATAACATCACAATCACAAAAGGACTAAACGGCACAACTTGAAAATCAAGGGCCACCAATGGAAAAAGCAAAGGCCTACCCTCTAAAACAACAGGACTAGTCAAGACAAAAATGAGAATCGAACAGGACCTCGACTAGTCATTATCGTCATTTTAAACTTTCAATGCAGCTTTGTGGACCATTGTCTCCTTGTGGATTTGATGGCAACTCTTTTCCACGAGGTCAAGAAGCTTCTCCAAGTTCATGGACCATGAATTTAGAATGTCGTTACTATCCTTGGCTGTCTGGAAGCAGACTATACCTATAGGTCGGTCAATCTTTGCAATCAAAGCTTTGGAGACAACCATATCTGAAAGATGCTTCTCAGTTTCCTATGGAAAGAAAGAGAGAGAGAGAGAGACAAGAATTAGAAGATAATGGCGATATATATAGACAAGGTAATGGGGGATACAAGCATCTTCAACCATGAACAAGGAAAAAAAAAGAGTAAAAACCCAATGATCCAGAGAAGATTGAGATGAAAATGCTTTGGAACTATTACCATAAAGAAACAAGACTATGGAATAAAATAAATACAGATAAAACCAAGTGCGAAGAAGTTAAATAGAAAAAGAAAAAGCAAATCGTGGACCTGGAATTCAGACCCAGTGCTATTAAGGACTTGTCACTTTGGCAAAATGGACCTTCAATACTATCTTCCATGTCTCTCTCATCGCTAGAACTTAGTGCTGTATAAAGTAAATTCCATGTCCACCCACTTGAGATCAAGATTTTCATCGCTTTCATGGCAATAAAATTTGAGGCTTTGTTTATGTTGTCTTTGTTAAAAAGTGTGCTTCTTTTGAATTTTTTTTAGGGTTATGGTTTTTTTTTTTTAAGTCAATCATGTTTCACTCAGAATATGGAAAATATCATAAAGGTGCAGCTTGGATGGTTACACTCTATATCCAATTTCATGTGTAGCTTGGATGGTTACACTCTATAGCCAATTTCGTGCATAAAAACGAGCCAAAAGTACCAAGAAACCATTTGAATGACAGGGCACTATGACAAACTAAAAAGCAGTCTCTTCATCTATATTCTTATCATATATTTTTATAGATTCGCAGATGGACCAACTTTAACACCATATGATTCGCTCAGATTTACAATGCTGGGAGCATTTTTAAAAGGGAAACTATATTAAACACAGAAGATGTGTTATTATTCACTAGTTACATCTAACGCCACTGAACTAATTCCAAGAATTCCCAAATGCTAATTCAATTCAATTATATGGTATTCAGTATGTATTTTACAAGAGAGCTTCGAGAAAAACATTAGATAATATAATTTCCAGTAACTTCAAAACTTAAATCCAAAAAACTCCCAGCAAGAAAAATTAGTAACATATAACATTAAAAAAATAAAAGAGTACTTAGAATCAATAGCTCTATCTGAAATTGAAGAAAAGTATATTTGGTAGAAAGAAGACAGACCTGGACGCCAAGACATAGTAGATCTGCCATTCTCTTCAAGGTTATCCGCGAGTAGTATTTTGAGATGACAATGATGTTCTGCAAGGAAATAATCTCTTAAAGATATACATTACAAATTTTAGAACGGTAAACAAATCTAAGTTGGTACATGCAACATTGCATGGACATTCAAGTACCCTGGTCAGAGACGGAACACTCAGGACAACGAATCCGTAGACTACAAATATCTTAACTAAAGCATTAAGTTTGACATAGAATGACTGGAAAAGTGGGTTTAAGGATTACATGTTCTGTTACTCTCAATCTAAGATCTTCGGCCGCTTTTTCACTCAAAGAGCCACCAAGCATGTTCTTCTCATTCTCAAACTCATCTTTGAATGTGTTCCAAAGGGATGTCCACTGAATGACCTCCATGGTAACTAATTGTTTCAACAGTAACCTTGTGACAGAGTAAAAGATAGTAAAAATGAAAGTGAATAACATAATTCTGCGAAGGAAAATAAATTAAAAAGAAACCTTAAAAGAGTTATAAAGCACTAACCTGAAATGAGGAATTTCAGAAAGATTCTTATCCTCCAGGGTTGAGTTAAGAAGGCTAGATTGCATAGGATCATGTGGAGCCAAGACCAAGTACCAGCATATTTTTCTCAACACCTGTTGAAAAAATAAATAGCACTGAAGTCAACTGGGACGAAGAATGCATACAAATCGAGGCAAACATAAGAAGAGATTCTTTACTGGTATCCATTGTATGGGGTCCTCTTTCACTGAGGGAATTTCGTACATTGCTTTGTAACATCGGCATATTTCAAGGTAATCATTGCTATGTGAGTGGTACCTACACCATATGGACATCAATTCAATAAGTCTGGAAGGAATACAGCTGACATTAGTGAAAACAACAAGAACATCTAAAATTGAAAATCACAAGCGTGGAAATTGTGGAAAATATCTGTACAACTATGTAATATTATGTAATCTTTATAATTACTTATTCTTAAGATAGTTATTGCAATCCCTGATTTTTAGGTACTGGATTTTTATTTATCTTTTTTTTTTTTTGGTAACTTTCCTTATTTTGCTGATTGAGTTCAGCTATATAGAGCTTGTTTGGTAGGGATTTTTTGGAGGAAGAATTGATTTTGAATAGTGATATGATGGGAAATGTGTGGTTGAAAAAGAAGATAAGATTATTGATGTGATGAAAAATATTATTTTATTGAAATATGNATTTTATTGAAGAATGTGGAGTTGAAAATGAGAATTGATTTACTGTATGATTGGAGAATCCGTACCAAACGGGGCCATAAACTCCTGTAATAATGATAGTAAATCAATACAATTCATATTTTCTCTAATGGTATCAGAGCTTTAGGCTCATTATCTTGGAAATTGTATTCATTTTTTTGCTCATCCTCTTTACATCATCAATGGACCTTGTTTTGTCACCCTTTGTATTGAAGAACAATGACACATACTTCAGCAACCAGCAATCCTTCGGAGACTACAGTACTTGAAAGCAATAATCCTTTATAGGAGAATTGCAAAACATTCAAGAACTTACAGGTTGAATGGGAAGAATTATCTGAAGTGGTCACAACTAGTTCGTACGTTTTTGAAGGGAAGAGGCAAACTAAGTCAACTACTTGGTACTGGGCCTAAAAAAGGGGATCCAAACTTCAATGCTTGGGATGAACATGACTCAATGGTGATGTCCTGGTTGTGGAACTCTATGGTGCCAGAAATCGGCGACACATGCATGTTTTTGGACACGGCCAAAGATATATGGGAGGCTGTGAGACAGACATACTCCAAAGTGTGTGACGCTACACAAATCTATGCAATCAAAACCAAGGTTACTGCCACCAAGCAGGGAGATCGACCAATCACCGAATATTCAAACATTTTAAACGGTTTATGGCAGGAAATGGATCACTATCAATGCATCCAGATGAAGTGCAGTGAAGATGCGGTTGTTATTGGTTTGTTGAAAAAGAGAAAATTTATGATTTTCTTGCCGGACTAAATATTGAATTTGATGCAGTAAGGGTGCAAATACTTGGAAAAGAAGACTTGCCATCATTAAATGAGGCTATTGCAATAGTCCTTGCTAAAGAAGGGAGAGGAGTTATGGTTGATATACCTAGAGTGGATAGTTCAACTTTGGTGCCTAAAAACACTAACAAGAAGAATTCTAGTATGAAACAACAAACCGGTGAAAACAGTAAACAAGGAAATTTTACACGATCATCAAACAAAGAGGCTCTATGGTGCAATTATTGCAAGAATCCAGGCCATAAAAAGGGACAAATGCTGGAAGTTTCGTGGCAAGTCTCAAAATCCAACTCAAAATTGGTCATATCGTGGTGGACAGAAGCAAGTGTATATTACAAAAACACCGAGAGTCCGTCCATAGAATTCAATCGTGAAGAAATTGAGAAGTTAAAAATCTATTAGGGACATTAGAAAAATCATCTACCACAGGTACCTGCTCTTTGACATTATCATGTATATCTTCCACTTCTCATGCTTTTAATGTCTCAAATAAAGTCTTTTCCAATGCACAGTTCATTGACTCAGGAGCTACAGATCATGTGACTTGCTCTTCACAAAAATTCATCTCATATATCTCGTGTCCTAGTAATAAAAAAATTAACCATAGCAGATGGTTCCGTAACAACAGTAGCCGGTCAGGGAGATATTCTCATTAATAACTCTCTTACCCTTAGGAATGTTGTTCATGTTCCAAAATTATACACCAATCTAGTGTCCATCCAGAAACTCGTCAAAGATTCTAATTGCCGTGTGATTTGTTATCCTGATCATTGTGTTCCAAGAACAAGGAATGAAGTGGATGATTGGACATGCTAGAGAGAGGGATGGTCTCTATTATCTTGAAGAATCAAATGAAGAAGCTAGAGCTACGGGTTCTTCACCTTTATCATTTCTTTCCGAGTCATTTAAATCTAATAAATACAAAATTTGGCTTCATCATCTTCGTCTTGGTCACCCGTCATTTAGGTATCTTAAACATATGTTTCCTTTATTGTTTAAACGATTATTTGTTGAAAGTTTTCATTGTAATGTGTGTG